GTGTGCAGCGAGCCAAGGCACCACATGCCAGTCCTGGGCTGCTGTGCCTTACCTGTGCCAGGACTGCCCCAGTGCCTCTCGGGGGGGCTTCCCGTGCTGACAGGCACCCTTGTGCCACAGGGGGGGAATCCTGCCCAGGAAGCAGCAAACGTGACTCTCGTGTGTGAGCCATGATTGCCGCATGCGGATGGTAGACCCAGGTGGGGCAGGAGACTACAGGATAGGGTGGGGGAAGATAGGGTGTTTTTCCAGAGGAGGGTCAGTGTACTCCAGATTTTGGTGCACAATCGGTGTCCAGAGAGCAGGTTACCTTTGTGTGAGCAAGGCAGGCAGGATGAATCTTGGCTTGCTGCAGCACAACTGGGTGCATCCCAGGCATGGAGAGGGTACTGCAGCCTGTCCCGGGACAGGTATTCCTGCCTGACACGGAGAGCTGTGGCTTGCCCAGCCCTCTGCTTGCTGCCCCTTCTTCATAAGCCTTTGGGAGTACCCTGTGCCTGGGCAAGCGACTCTTGAGCATCGCTCTGGAGTGTTAGAAGCTCCGCAGAGATCCATCACTGGAGATGCTGGAGGGAACCCCGAGGGCTGGTCCCATCTCTGTGACTCCTGGTGCCCCTAAGCAGCCTCCAGCCCTTCCCAGCCGGGTTTTGCCATGGCCGTCTGCTCCTCAGGGCAGCAGCTGCACCAAAGGCCCCTGGCAGCTCCCATGTCTGGCTCCTCGCTGAGAGGGGGGCAGGATCCTGCTGGGCTTGGGGCCTCACATAGGACATCTGGGCCTGGGAAAGTGTGCCTCTTCCTTTCTCACCCCTGAGCTGGAATCTGCTTCTATTAATAGCACGTGGCTGTCGATAGCTGTTGTCAGTGGCAGGGATGGGGACCGCAGCAGCGCCTGCTGAGACCCTCCTGTGTCCCAGCCAGGCTGGCAGATGTTTAGCCCCACCAAGGGACAGAGATGGTATCGGGGCTGGACTGCACCTGCTAAATGCTCCTCCGCATCCTGGCACCCTGGGGAGCTGATGGAAGCGGGTGTAGATGCTGCCCTTGCTAATGGGTGCATACACCCCTTTGCCCTAAGCCTGTCCCAACCTAGCAGCCACCGCTCCTGCCCTCATGGGCTGCGATGTGCCAACAGTCTGTCTGCAACGATGACCATGCTGGTAAGGACAAGTCAGAGGAGGAGCCCATGAATTGCCTGTCGTGCTAGTCAGGGCAGGGGCATAATCCTTATGGGCCACATTTCTCTACTTGGGACAAATCCAAGCCCTGCATCTTGTTGCCTGGAACCGATTGCATGCAGAAGGGATGGTGATCACCAAGGTGTTTGGTCGGGAGCATCTGCAAAGAGGCTCTGGGGCACCTCTAAGGCCAGCTCCAGTGACGTGCCAGGAGCCTGGGCTTTGCTGACAGCTCTGGAGGAGAGTGATGGTGTGAGGGGCGGCGTGTGCAGCTCTGCAGTGCCCTCACGACCTGACCCAGGAGGTCTTCGCTCCCTCTAGATCTGCACACCATCACACCCCCAGCTGTGGGCAGCTCAGCACACACCGGGGCACATCCTGCCCTGCCATGGCCACTGTGTGGCCCACGGGTGACATGGGACATGCAGAGGTCCTGGCATGGGCTCCCCCATCCGCCCCCCTACTTTTCCTGGGGAAAGGGTTTGTGTCCGATAGGAGCCTCATGCAGCTCTGCGTGGGAGTTTGTGTGGTCAGGTGAGTTGGGGCAGGGACGTTTGGTCTGGCACATGTTCCTGTGGCAGTCTGCCCCCGTGGCATGGGCACACGCTGATGAGGAAGACAAGTTTTTGGTGCTCGTTTGATTCCTCTGCTCTGCATCCCAGGGTTGCTTTCCCTGGTGGGAGGAGGGTGTCTGTGAGGTGCAATGCAGCTCGCTGCCCGAAGTCCTCATGGTGTGGGAGCTGCTCTTCCCCACATCCCCTCCAGCACCTCAGCATCACAGGAGTGCCAGCAGGACAGCCGCTTCCCTGGTTGTTTTTACTTACAGAACCTGAGCAGGGAAGCTGCAGACCTGCCTCATTAAGTCCTTTGTCTTGGGACGGTGGGAGGTTTTGGCTGCTCCGGAGCAGCTGCAAGAGCACTGGTTCAGCTGCTCAGTGACGGAAGGCCGTATCTCTGCTTCAAGCCAGTATCTCTGATTCTTTCCATTATAAGGATGATAACAAAGCATCAAGCCCTGGGGTTTTCCCTCTGGCCGACAGCTGCGGGAGACCTGGCCCTGCTCGGGGGGAGGCAGTGCCCTCTGGGACCATCGCCCTCCCGGGGCAGGGGAAGGAGTGGGAAAGCGAAGGCGGGGAGGGGGATCAAAGGCAGTGGGAGCCCAGAGATCTGCTGCCTGGCAGAGGTGTGTTTGCTGACAACCTTTCCCTTCCATTCATGTAGGGTTTTTTTTTTTTTTCCCCTCAAGGTCCTGGCCACAGTCACTGGAGCTATGAAGGTAAATACCCTGCAGTTACTCCTGCTTTTTTCCTACCACCCGGCAGACCCTGTGCTTGAGCCAGCTGTGGTTAATGATTACAGGGCTCCTGTGCGCACTCTATAGCTCACCCCTCCCTCCTGCCCGAACCTGGGCACAGCTGGGCTGAAGAGCCAGGTGTTGCTCTGATTTGAGCAGGAAGCAGTGGCTCTGCCGAGGGTTTCCCCAGCCCCCTGGGTGTATGGGGATGCCCCTCGGGGCAGGGCTCCTCCCTGAACAGGAGCTCCCCTGATCCTGTTCTAAGCAGGGAAGCAGACTGGGCTCTCCATGCTGGACTTGCAGCCCATGCTGGGACTTTGACCTGCCCAGGGATTAGTTTGTGTCTTCTCCTCTGTCCTCTGCCACCCTCTCTCCTCATCCTGCCTAGCCCTGCCCTCCCATCATGGTTTGGGGGGCTTCTCCACCGCATCCTTAATGGGCATCACTGCAGTGCTAGCACAAACGCTCCTGTTCCTACTGTGGTGGTGGGCCAAGCCCCAGCACCATCACTGCTCAGCACCAGGGGCTGGCTTGGAGCTGCTAATGCCCATCTTTATGGGGGTCCGGTGAGGGGCTGGGCTGGGGACAAGTCTGGGTTTGCACTGGCCCAAGACGTGCTAGAAGCAGCCCCCTGCAGTGCAAGGGAAGGTTTCTGGGGCATCAGCTGTGCTTATCCCAGCTACGGCACTGGGGAGAAGTGCTAATTTAAGCAGCCACCCCAGCCACGTGAGCCAGCCCTTTGCAGGGCTGTACTGGTGCCGTTAACAGCTGGGAACCCATCAGGCCTGTGGCCGTGGGCTCGTGTGATCCCGGTGGCACTGTGGCACCTCGCTGGAGTAGCAGCGCGGGTGGGGCGGGGGGGGCCAG